AGAAAATCATAAAAACATGTAGATATTTTTTTTAACTATAACGTAACTACTTGCTTATTGAAATTTCTGTAGATTTTAATTTTTGCTTAATTAATATACACAGAATAGAAAACAAAATAATTATAAATGCTTTCTTTTTTTATAAATATGCATTAATAGATTTTTTGTACTAATAATGACTTTATTTACATTAAATTACATAATATACATTAGATAATATACACGATTGTTGCAATAAATCTAAACATTTCTTTTACTTAACGTCATACAACAAAGTATATATCACTACTGCGGTTTCCAAGTTTGAATCTTTGGTGGTACAGTACTATAAGGCATATAAGCTTGGTTTGTACCAGATAAATTTGGTTTGTGTTTTGCCATCCACTTATACTTTGGTCTTGTAGGGTCTTCATTTGGAGTTAAATCTGTTTTGTAATGCAACCAACCAAACCATTCAGGTGATACTTGGGAACCATCATAATCCATACCATATTTATCTGCATATACTACCCATCGGTTGCTAGCTAAAACATGGTAAATACATATCAAATAATGTTATATCAAGAAACATTTATTTAACTTATAAAATTTACATTAACATTTAATTAATAAATAAAAGCTATACGTTGATTATAATCAAACCATAGTATTATTATATTATATTGCTTACCAATATAAATTATACCCATTACATGAAAACAATCAAATACTCATTCTACCTACATTAAGTTTCCAAATATTTGTAACATTCCCGCTCAAAAACTTTATTATGTTCAATAATGATATGTCAGTATTATCATATGTTATTATTTATTGCTAAGTATTATAAGAAAATTTCTGTAGATTAACTCACCGTAGAAATAGCCATCATTTTTATAGTATTTGTTACCATCTGAATCCACGCCTACTAGGGTACCACTTTTTACCGCATCCATTCTAAAATATTTAACGATAAAGTATATTACAATAGAAGCTCATCGATTTTATATATTTATATAAAAATTGTTTAGTGTTTATTAATATGTAGAGACTATTGTTAGACTCACAAGCAAGGAATACGTATTAGACTTTTGCAAAAAGAACACGCATAAATATGATTGAAATTAATATTTAATATTAAAATTACCTGTATAGACTTCGCAAGCTCTTATAAATACCCCCATTATCCCATATTACTTGAAAAAATTTCTTGATTTTATCTAACCCCAATAACTTCGCCATGTTTGTTTCAGACCACCACTACCACAGCTCAGAGCAGAGAATTATTGAGACTACCCTTAACTATATAAATCTTAAGATCTGTGAGTACACAAAAAAAAACCTTCAATTGCAAAAGTAACATGTAAACAATTATGCAGATTAATTATGCAATTGCATGATTCTGATACATTTTCGAATCTAAACTCTAGACTGTAGATAAGATTTAAAGCTAAGATCGTGTTGAAAACGACCTCTACTTGTGGTCGCACACGCGGGAATATTCAAACACTTTGCTTTGACTATGAGAATATTTTTTATCTTTATAAAATTCATATCCCTGTAAATCTACGTAACATAGAACATAAGATCTAAATAAATATATATATAATAATAAATATATAATAATAATAACAATAATAATATAATAATAATAAATATATATATAATAAAATCTAAATGAATATATATAAGTGACCTAATACTTTTTTATCTAAAATGTTTAAAAATATAACGATCTTCTGTTCCAAAAATAAATTACTGTTTGTAGATTTGTCAAAGATTTTTAATAGATACTATTTCATCTATATTCATTTCATGTATAA